GTTTTCACCTTTCAACCACACATAACTGACACAACTGGTAGCCCAAGAAGAATGCTTTAAAACTGTTATGGTTGTCCGTATATTTTTCTTCCGCAAAACAAATTGAAATATTTCCCCAAATTTTATGCAGTGAACAGTTTTTTTTTATATATATATATATATAATTTTGGATAAGAGTAATTTTATGCTAAAAAGAGGTTATGTATTAATACATTGAATACATTTTTCTGATGCATATTTGTTTATCAATATCATGTTATATTCCTCCTATAGATATAACACCCAACTGAATGTTATAGTAGGACGATGTACAGTAATGTACACTGAAAATAACAAGTTATATAACATTTTTGTTTGAAAAAGAGTAGTGTACTTACTTGACTGGCTGAAATCAGATGGAAAATGATATTTGCAGTACCAAATTAATACAGTTTACCTTTTGAAGAAGTAACATTTTCCATTTGACCTAGGGAGCACAACTGCAAACATATTCGTTGGCATCTGAGAATCCATTAACTTAAATATTGAGTGATGGTGACACAGCTTGCTTGCCATTACACTTGAGCCATCTCGTCGCTGTTGGAGTAACAAACTGTACTGACCATTCTTTGCCTGCAAGTCATGAATACTTCAGCTGTTCCTGCTCTTCTGCTACTAATATTCATACTAACATTATTGCTACTACTGCTATTAATACCACATTAACCACCATTTCTTCTGTTACTTCTTGTCCTTTTGCCCATGTCTTAACTGATGTGATCCCTTAAACAGAACTTCTGTCCTACCATAAACTGTCTCCTGCATTTTCATTCCACATTTAACTTGTCTTATTTGATGCAGCACAATCTTCTATACCATGACACGTTTAAAGTTCACAAATTTCTCATTGAAAGCTTTCTGAAAGAAAGTATTTGGATCCATGTTGTGTAACTGGACTAGACTTTCTGCTTCTGATGATATGCTGGCTTCCACTGCTCAGGCGATATTAATATTATTATTGTTTAGTCAGGTTTTCTGCAGTATGTTTTATGGCAGGGAATTTAATTAAATTGGGATTAATTAATTCTTGTTTCTTAATATAAGCAGGTCGATCTAAAATTGTTGCATTTGTCCAAAGGATCTGCTCATGGTGTAAACTTAGAAAATGTTGATTTGGAGTCTTTGCTCAAAGAAGAGCCAAAGACAGAGTCAGACCGCATCAAGTCACTACAGGAAGGAGAACGGTTGCATCTTGGAAGAGAAGATGGCAAATCTGAATTCAAGTAATTTGACTGACAAGTAAGTGTTCTGATTCAAATATCACTTGAGTGTGGTAACCATGTGCCCCCTGTTGGTTGACTGCAATGTGTAGGTAATTAAATCTCAAGACAGTCTTTCTTATGACTTAGATCTTGAAAGGAATGCTCTGAAGTGTTCAACATGTGGATAAAATTGAGTTATACATCATGGTTTTGTTTTTCCTTGATTTTTTCCTCATTTTATTTGAGCATATTTGGGGATAAAACAGGTTACATCTTCTTCCTATGACAGTGTCTAATCACTGTAATATATTTTACCTTTGCCATATTTTTCTATAGCTTATCTAAGATGTGATATGTAGTGCAATATACAGAGAATTGCTACGTATTTCAAACCTAAACCACTGTTCTAGGGTTTTTTCTGGTTCTCATCTAAAGGCTTTTTATATCTGTGTTGAGGTTCAGATATTAATTCTGTATGAAAGTGCCTCAAGGTGTGATGAGTGGATTGACAGACCTTAGAGTTTTATATACATACAAAGATTTTTAAATGAAATTCTTGTGATTTTAAATGATTTTATGTGCTGGATACATTAATGAGAATATTGGTTCTTTTATTCATTTTTAATTTGTAACCTATGGAATATAATACAGTGAACTTCCAGTCTGGAACAAAAATGTTTTCTAATACAGGCTACAGCTACCTTCCTAAAATATAATTAATTATTAAGGCCTCGGAAGTAGAGCCAGCAGAATATGTAAAAGTGAATATTGTGTGTGTGTGTGTGTTGATAATGTGCTGAACATTGGCTGTTGTATATTTCATATACATGACATTTCAGGGGTTGGCTCTGTTCCCATCTTCAGGTGATGAGTTCATGTTATAGTGATATTTTTATTATTTGTATTTTGACTTATGGTGACAATTTATATACTAGGTTAGCATACACTAGTACCACTATACCAGTGGGGCAACCAAGAAATGATTGTTGTTATCTCCTGAAGTTAGGGGTAGAACTGACTTATAGTTATGCTTATGATAGTGGACAATGTTTAGATATTATTGGTGTAATGCTGTGTTCCACAACCTTTATTTACATGTGGAACACCCTAATATGTCAAAGGCACATGATAGCACAAAAGATGTTTCCTCATGAAAAGGGGGTATGAAACTATACATGGCCAATATGTGTCAACATATCATTACTTGCGCTATAAGAATGCAGGCACATGAAAACAGAAAAAACTGCTTGTTGAATAAAACCATCAAAGATGAACCTGTGTGTGTATAGTGAATTTTGATTATGAAAGATAAGATATTTCCCTTTTTCCTAACTATAACATGAATATTCAGTTTCTTATCAAAATCTGTAGCACACCTGAAACCTTGTGGCAGCATAATGGTCATACTGGTCTTGGAACACTGGTGTAATGAACCAACTATTGTCACAGACTTTTTGAAAATTAATGTGTTAGCCAGCCAGTCAGTAGAGTACTTGTCATGACTGCCATTTGCATCACCTGTACGGTCTGCTGGCAGGTTTGTTCGTCATACACCTCTGAATATTTTTTGTTGGGATCTGTGTACCCATAATTATTTGTTGTATGGTACTAACATTTTCATTTAAATTGCTGGTATTTATAGCTAACTACATGAAGCAGAATCCATCCTGTGCAGCTAAATTGCTGCTTTTTTCTAGCTGTGTTTGTCTTTTGTACTGTCATTATTTCATCAGTTAAGTAACTCCATGGAGTGGAATCCTTCTTGAGAAGTTAATATTTGCCCAGCTGGTCAAGATATTTCCACTTCTGTGGAACCCAGAGGTTAATTATTGTATTTACAAGAGCCTGCCTGTGGATCATTTTTAAAAATTTGTTTAGAAAAATCATCTGACTATGCATAGTTCTCCCAAGTGACCTCTTTTTAGATTTTCCAACTAAAATATTTTGTTACCCATATCCCCCTTGCATGCAACAGTCTCCACTTATTTCATCCTTCTTAATTTGTTCACTGAAATAATATTTGGTGAAGGGTACAAGTTATGAAGCTTTGTCTTGTGATTTCCCCTGTTCTGTATTTATATGGATATCAATTTGAAACTTACAGTGTGTTGTTAATTACAGGTAAAAATTATATATTTTATTAAATAATGTCACTATGCAGAATGTTTCACTTGATGTTGTTTTCTCAACAGCTTTTACAGTGATTTTTACTTTTTAAAAGCAAGAGACTTCAACAAACATGATTTGGAGAATATTGAACTTTACCTGATGTAGAACAAGATGTGGGAAGTTATGTTTGCTTTCTTTCTTTTTTTACTGTGTCTTCATTTTAAGTGGATATGTGCATTTGTGTTTACTGCAGATGAAAATGAAGAGGATCTGCTTTACCATTTCTTGCGCATGGTATTATTGTTTTTGCTCAAAGGTTTTAGACATAACTTCATACTAGAGTGACTGTGTTTCGATATATTATGGTATCTGATACTGTCGTAGTAGGAAGTGCTAGCTTTTTAGTCTCTATACGCTTAATTCATCAGCAGGGCTACAAGGTCTTTTTACTTTTTAAACAAATATAACTGTGTCTTCAGTACAGGCACTTCTTTCATAGAGTGATGTTATTCTTTTCTGTTCCATCAGTCACCAAGAAAAATGGTACTCTGCTACATTTATTTATAGGCCCAGATTCAAGAGAAATACACTTATGATGACTCTTATATGTGATCAGTAATCAATAAATTCATGCAGGTGACTGCCACCTGAAGTCATGTCTCCCTGTAACAGAACTGAGGTAGTATGTGAACTAGAATAGGTCTGCAAAAAATATGCAGGTTAAGATAACATTATTCACAAAAGGAAAATAACAATATTCCTTTATGGATTTTGGTCTTCTGTGTTATACCATCTAATCTTATAGGTGGTTACCAACATTTATGAAGAACTTATATATCACCTCAGTTAAAACTGCAGAGTGTACAGAAGACCATAATCCAAATATTCACCACTACTGAAACCTTGAATCTCATATACTAAACCTGTGTAGGGGTGCAACATTACAGTGTTCAGTGTTTCTCAGAAAATTGAGGTGGTAGGTTCTTCCAAAATATTGGTAACCACATACAAGACTACACGGTGTCATAACCCAGGCGTCCACGATCTAAATTCCCACTCCTGCAAGAACCTAAATCTTATGTTGTTGCTGGAATCAAATGGGATTGCTTAAATTTTATTGTATAGTAATTATAGTATAGTATGAATTATGTGACTACACGTGAAATTTTATACATTATGTTAAGTGTACTCTGCTTTCATTCGAAACTGTTTTGTTAAAATGTCAGCATGCAACTTCCATAGTGTTTATCAGAGATATGGATGCTACTGCATTTTTAATTTTTATTGATGCTGTCAGTAACTCAGCCTGTATATTGTCAATTGAATAATAGTAAATTAAAATAGATTTGGGTGTAAACAATCATGATCTAATTTAAGATGCTATCCTGGAGGTGCTGATGATAGCCATGTAAATCTCAGTCAGGATAGAGGTGTCCAGGCTGAGATTAGATTTGGGATTTCCTCAATACAAATCAGGAGTGCCAACCACTTGATCATGATGCTTAGTGACATTGTTGTCATGTTGATTTTCAGTTAGGTTGTATAATTATGACAGACATTTGTCAACTAAGCCGACTGCTTTCACAAGTATAGAGAAAGGATAGTGTAAGGCGGGTTTTGCATAACTTATTAATCTTGTAGATAAGCCCATCATGTTTTGGTTTCAGCAGAGTGTAATAAAATGACACAATATCAAATGTTTGAACCCCTATTGCTGAGACTTTACTAAGAATCCTGCAAAACACATTTCTGTAACATGTTTATTATGTTTGGCATTCACTTGATAGGCTTGAAAAGCATTGTTTGAAATTAAAAGTGTAAAAGTTATATGCAGAATGTGGCACAAGTTCTTGAATTTTTCAGTTTCATAAGAACATGTCAGAAGTCTGAAAAGTAAGAGGACAACTTAATAGCAATCTGAACATTGTTATGTATTGCGTTGTCAACGTGGTATGAACATGTGCATTTGTTTCTCTCTTGAGAAACACTAATAAAAGCATATGCCACATATTGTTAACATACTACAGGTTAGTTAACCTTCTCAGCTGATATAATTTGATGTTAAAACTTTGTAAACTTTGGATATACTCGCAATAAAAGCAAGCTGTAAGCTGTGTGTAAAATTAATAATCATAACCTGAAAAAACAGTGAAACTAAAGAATCTTAGATGCCACCTGATTTTGGTTTCAACTATTTACTGAATGCAAGTCTAGATAGATTGGGACTCCTGAATCTGCTTAGTAGAAGATTAATGCATTTTTTATAATAATTCTTACAACCATCCATTCATAACAATATTATCAGCCATGTCTAATTCCTGCATCTCCATCATACATTTATCAATGTAAGATACTTAGTTGAAAGCCAGGTATAACAAAAGATGTATTCATAAATTATCATTGTTCTTAACTGAATACTTGAAATGAGATGCACGTTTTGCCCATGACATTTAATAACCAGAATTATACATGAATGCCATAAGTTTCTACTGGCTTTTTCTTCTTCTTTGTAATAGAAGAGTTGGAATAGTTTTGCTGTTGGTCCGGAATGTTTCTGGATGCTCAAACTTTTGAGGCAGGAGGGTAATGCTCTCTGATAATGTCGTTATATATAATTCTCCATACCCTTATGACATCATCCCAGATGATTATCAAAACAATAAAGAAATAATCACCATAAATGTTTGTTTTAAATGGTTACTGAGCGAAGGTCAGTGATCTTCCAGGGCTTCATCTGACAAAAGTCAAATCATGGCAATGTTCCATAAATGTCATTCTATGCGTATGTTTGCTAATTTGTTACATACAGAATATAAATCCTGTATGTTGCCACATTTTAAATTATGAAAGAATATGTCAACAAAACCTCATTATGTCATGAAAATATAATTTATATTTACTTAAGTGCTCAATTTCCATTCATAGATTCCCAATATAATACATTCTCAGATGCAGCTTCAGATTTTGGCTGTATTATTATGTTTGCAATTTAATGTTTATACGAGGCGCGTCCTCAAAGTAAGTTTCCCTGGGGCCGTTTACAGAAACAAAACACAATTTCATGGAAATATTTATTGCAACAGATACAGCAAGTGTCCAGCTATTTTTCAACATATTCGCCACCGGAAGTGAGACATTTGTCATACCGTGGGACCAACTTTGGAATCCCTGT